AACAATATTTATGCTGAACACCTGCTTTCCTTCTTTGAATTTGGAATTCTGATTATGGCTATGCAGTGGGTGCCTCTATAGCCAGCCACTAATAAAAACCTTGAGTGCTGATACTCTTCCTAGGGCAGAAACATTGCACACACATTACTGATTTTTTTTGCTGCTAGAAAAAACACACCCAATGTGTCCCTTCACGGGAGGAAGAAAGAGCAGTGGAAGCCTGTGCATGGACTTCTCCAGACTCTGCCTGTGTCTTTTTTTCTTGCTGATCCTGTCATGTAGCTATTCACTGTAATAAACCTTAACCATGTAGACTATTGCTATAGTTTGAATGTTCCCCCAAGCTCATGTTGGAGCTTAATCCCCAATGTGGTATTTGAAAGGTGGGGCCTTTAAAAAGTGATTAGACCATGGGGTCTATGCCCTCATGAATGGATTAATGGGCTAATGGATGAGTGGGTTATCACAGGAGAGGCACTGCTGGCTTTATAAAGAGAGGAAGAAGCATGTTAACGCACTTTTGCTTAGGCCACGCCATGTGATACCCTGCATCGCCACAGGCTTCTATAGAGAGTACCCATCAAGAAAAAGGCCCTCACCACATGTTCTCCCTGGACCTTGGACTTCTTGGCCTCCAAAATTATAAGAAATTTTATTTCTTTATAAATTACCCAGTTTCAGGTATTCTGTTAGAAGCAACCAAAAACTGACTAATACAACTACTATATGCTCAGTCCTAGTGAATCACCAATTGTGTGCATGGTTTTAGGGATCCCCAAAACATATACAATAGCCAGCAGTAGGGGTCCTGAGAGCTGGTGAAGGTGTGCCTAGTTAGTAACTGGCAGTTTGGCTCAGAGCTCTGGAGGTGTGCTGAGGATACAGAAATACAGGGAAAGAGCTAGAGTGAACCTCTCTCTCTGAGCTGAAGCTTTTCTCCCAGTCTCAGGGTGGGTTTTCTCCCAGTGATCTGGCTCATTTGCCTGCCTATAGGTCTATAACACTAAAGGTGGGCTGAGCAGCATGCTTACTTGTTCTCCCCAAGAAAATGGAAGGGAAAAGGCAAGCACTTGCCACAGAGCTTAGACTTCAGGTCAGAGGTGTCAAAGCCCCCGTCTTGGGCTTTCTCAGGGCAGGGTAGCTCAGCTTGTTCTCCCCAAGAAAATGGAAGGGAAAAGGCAAGCACTTGCCACAGTGCCTAGACTTCAGGTCAGAGGTGTCAAAGCCCCCGTCTTGGGCTTTCTCAGGGCAGGGTAGCTCACAGGGAGTGCTTGATCTCCAGCCTCATGGAAGGAAGAGACAAGAGGGATCAGCTTGAATTTCACCACCCAACAAAAGGTCTCCACTAACCTTAGGCTCAAAAATGCTCTAGCTTTTGACCCTCCTGGAAAGAAACCATCTAGAAAGGAATGTGGGGAGTCAATCTCTCTCCACCTCCCTGCCTCTATCTCCCCTATTGTCTTCTCTGGGGTACAATGGGGGTGGGTGGTGTGTGGGCCTGACAGTGAAGAGGATCCTTAAGCTCTCTCTACAGACCAACACTCCCCCACATTTTCTCTGCCTTCAGTTAACTTGGTGGGCATCATAACCACTGTCAGGGCCACCCTGAGTGCTGTTGTCCCCTTAGGAGACAGCAGCTTCCTCAACCCCTGCTGTGGGTCTGAGGCATCCATCAGGGGTTATCTGAAGATATTAGTGATGGTCCTGAGAGCCTTCTGAAATGGATCAAGACAGGACAATAATTAAATTTTTCCTCAAGGCCACAATAGATGTCACATCTTTGATCAGCTATGTTCAGACAAATGCATCAGAGATGAGGTGTCCTATAGAATAGCATAATCCAAGTGACACAGAGCTAGCAATAGAAAATTCCACACATTTCTAAGTGCTGCTTAGAAAAAAACCAACACATTTTGATATGTAATATTTTTGTTATTAGCTAGTTCTGAATGTTTTGTAGTTTTCATTATAATTTCTTCTGTGATCCAAGAGTTAATTAGAGAAATTTTTTTTATTTATAAACATTTGAGATGTTCTAATTATCTTTTTTTATATTGATTTTTGACTTAATTGTATTGTGATTAGAGAAAATGATCTGTATAATTTAGTGCTTTGAAAAGTTGTTGAGATGTGCTTTATGGCTCAGTATATGGTCCATTTTTGTAAACATTTTATGAGATTTTTAAAAAATGGTAAATTCTCTACTTGTGAGTGCAGAATTCCTATTGTATAAACATATGTTTATTGTATTTAAATATTATATACTATATTTTTGGTTTTCATGAAGTTTCAACTACTAAGAGAGAAATGTTAAAAATCTCTTAGTATGATGCTAGATTTATAATATGATTTAGGTGTATGTAGATTTAGAATCATTTTAGTTACCTAGTGATTTAAACTTTTTATCATTATGTAGTGACCCTATTTATTTCTAGTAATTCTTTTGGCTTGAATTCCATTTATCCCGGCTTTCTTTTGTTAATATTCCATCTATATTTCCCCCATCTTATTAGTTTCACCCTTTCTCTGTCCTTATGTGTCTTGCATAAAGTATATAACTGGATTTTTTTTAAAAAGCCAGAAAATGACACTCAAGGTAGGAATGATAAAACTTTGTTTAAATGGTAAAATTTTAAACTTTTGCTTTTCAAGAGACATGATTAAAAAAGTGAAAAGATAAGCTGCAGAGTGGGAGAAAATATTCACAAAACATCTGATAACGGGCTTAGAATGTATAAAGAACTCTTACAACTCAATACTAAGAAGAAAACCCAATTAAAAGAACTGGCAAAAATGGGTCATTAGGGAAATGCAAATTAAAACCACAATGAGATGCCATTACACACTCACTAAAACGGCTAAAATAAAAAATGACTGACAAATCCAAGGGCTGGTGAGGTTGAGGAGAAACAGGAACCCTCATATATTGCTGGTGGAAATGTAACATGATCGAGCTATTTTGAAAAATAGTTTTTTACAAAGTTAAGCATATATTTACCAAATGATTCAGCAGCATTCCCACTCCCAGGTATCTACTCAAGAGAAATGGAAACAGATATCCACACAATGATTTGTATGTGAATGTTCATAGAAGCACTATTTGTGGAAGTTCTGCTATTTGTAGAAGCCTAAACTGGAAACAATCCAACTGCCCATTAACTAGTGAATAGGTAAACAAACTGTGGTATATTCATACAGTGGAATGCTACTCAGCAATGAAAAGGGAGAAAGCACTGATGTATATGATTCCATTTATATGAAGTGTCCAAAGAAGACAAAATTAGAGAGACAGAAGATCAATGGTTGCTAAGCTGGAGGTAGGAATGGGGATTGATTGCAAGCAAGTAGGAGAGAAGTTTTTGGAGTGACAGAAATGTTCCAAAACTAAATTGTGGTGATGTTTGCACAACTGTATACATTTACTAAAACCCATTGACCTGTACACTTAAAGTGAATGAACTACTGATATGTAAATTAGACATCAATAAAGCTGTTAAACATTAAAAAATATGTTCAGATAATCTTGATCTTTTTTAATTGGAGCATTTAGTCCATTTACTTTTTTTGTAATTATAGATATATTTGTATTTCTTTCTACCATTTTATATTGTGCTTTCTGTATTTCCTGTCTTTTTAATATTTCCTTTCTCCCTCCTTTCTTTCTTAGATTTTTTTCCCCTTAAATCCATTTTTCTCCCCCTATTAGTCTGGAAGTGATACACTCTACTGCTGTTCTCGAATGGTTACCCTAGAAATTTCCACATGCAGATTTATGATCAGCATCTAGAGTTAATAGTTTTGCCCTTTTCTTGAACAACACCAGGAATTTAATACACATTAGCTGATTGCTAATGTTGCATTTTTAATCCCACACAACAATTCTATTATTTTATAGTTAATATTTATTTAATTACCCACACATTTACCTCTTTCTTTCTTTTCATTTTTTATTCCATCTCTGACTCTTCACCTGAGACATTTGTCTCAAAAATTGTTTGTACTGAAAGATGATATATTGAAGTGGTTAAGACAATGGGTTCTCAGGGCCGGCCTGGTGGCGCACTGCTACAGTGCGCCGCTTGGGAGCGCGGTGGCCCTCCCGCCGAGGGTTCGGATCCCACATACAGACCGGTTCCCGCTCACTGGCTGAGCAAGGGGCGGGAGCAATACCGAGGGTCGCGATCCCGTTGCCGGCGCTGGTCCGGTACGGGCGCGACACTGAGGGTTGCAATCCGTTGCTGGACACGAAAAAAGACAAAAAGGAAAAAAAAAAAAGACAATGGGTTCTCAGGGCCGGCCTGGTGGCGCACTGCTACAGTGCGCCGCTTGGGAGCGCGGTGGCCCTCCCGCCGAGGGTTCGGATCCCACATACAGACCGGTTCCCGCTCACTGGCTGAGCAAGGGGCGGGAGCAATACCGAGGGTCGCGATCCCGTTGCCGGCGCTGGTCCGGTACGGGCGCGACACTGAGGGTTGCAATCCGTTGCTGGACACGAAAAAAGACAAAAAGGAAAAAAAAAAAAAGACAATGGGTGCTAGAGCCAAATTGCTTCTCCCCGCCCCCCACCCCAGAATGCTTTTTATTTCTGTTTTATAAACAGAGAAACTGAAGCAGAGAGGTAGGTAACATGCCTAGGGCTATCTCTTGTAAGTGATGGAGGCAAGATTTGAACCCACTAATCCCCCAATAATTCCCCTTGCACTGCGGAGGGCTTGGTAATGACCCATGGTCTAAGAATCTGTTGGTGGCACAACAAACCAGAGTCTTTCTCCACTGTCAGCAAATATACATACAGGTTCACCTTCTTCTAAAGCCTTGATGTTTGTGAAGTTCATAAACAATTCCTATGAAAAGATTAATTTTATATGCAAATCACAGATGACTTAAATTTCACTCTTATGAATGCTTATAAAATCAGTTTTTAATGTTTCTTGTATATTTATTATCTTGATTTAGATAATTTGAAATGTCCTGCAAAATTTACAGGGCAAGACTTCTTCCAAATATATATATAGTTCTGTCTCTGGGATGTCTCCACCTTGCTTCATTTATTCTTGGGCAGAACAAGTAGCAGACCCTCGCTTTACAAAGCAGATCATTGATCCTCCCCAAAGGCAGTGTGATGCCTCAGTGGAGAGGATCCTTTGAGAAGAGTGGTTAACACAGAACAGTCTTCTAGGTCTTCCAGTTTTCCTACTGTCTTGATAAGACTTTCCACTGTGTTGCAGGACAGAGTCCTGGAGGCATTGGTTCTGAACTTTTCCTCTAGGTCCTTCTGGCTCAGTGGTTTCCTCCAGTGACCGTAGAAGGTATTGGAGCGCTCAGTGAACGTGGCTCCGTCTGTGAGGGTGACACTTATCTCGCAGTACAGTGTGTTGAAGCTTGGCAGGTTGTCTGGAGGGTGCTCCAGCTCCACCTTCCTGAGCAACCCTCTCATCTGTGGCCTGTTGATCTGGCTTTCATGGAATGATGGGACAGTGATATCACCATCGAGCAGCATGGCACAAGCCACATACTGGAAGGAATGACGTGCTTCATGCTCTGAGTCTGGGAAGGGCCTGTTTACATACTGGACATCTGGAATCCTGAGCACAATTCTCTTGATGTGGTCAGTGGGAAGCAGAGCTCTATCTGTTACAAGGTGCTTTCTCACAGATGCAGCAGCATCTGCCACCCAGTGAGTGGCCAAATGAGCCGGGAAACGCTTGAAGGCCACGTCCTGCTGGTTCAGCAGCCAAGTGTGGGAATCTAGGCTTGGAAGGACTTTGGGGCAATAGTTGGCATAGAAGGCCCCGAAGCCTACCTTCATGTCCAAGATCTCCTTGTTTCCTTGGAGACCCAGCATTGCCAGAAAAGCAGCTTCCATCCCAAGCCTGGCAGCGTTGCCAATATGAAGGGGCTTAGTCTGAGTGGCAGCATTTGCTATGGGTGCCCCAGCATGAGAAACAGCAATAGCCAGAGCCTCTTGGCACTGTGTCAAGCTAAGTCCTAAAAACTTGGAGGCAGCAGCAGCACTACCCAAAGTTCCTACCACCGAGGGGGGATGGAATCTGAAAAGCAAAAAAGCAGAGTTAGAGACTTACAAACCTTAACCACCAGGAGGCAGTATTGGTCATACCACCTGAGTTCAAATGTCAGCTATACCACCTAGCTGTGTGACCTTGGGAAAGTTACTCAACTTCTCTGAAACTGTGTTTTCTTACATAAAATGGTGATAATAATAGTGTCTACCTCACAGGATTTGGGGAGCTTTGAATGATTTCACAAGTTTACAATAGTGCCTAGAACATAGTAACTTCTTTACAGATGGTACAGTTATAATTATCGCTAGAAAGGCAAAAGTTGTTGGCTGTTGAAAACTCAGGTAAGTAACTGTACAAATTGAGGGCTTTGTAGAAGCTGTGAAAGTTCACCACATAGTATTCTAGTTTACTCCTTTCCTAGTAGGCTGGACCGAGTGGCAAAATAAGTATCAGATTGAACCATATGATATAGACAACATTTGGCCATTTTCCAACCATGGGGCGAACAGTCAGAGTTAGGATATTCTGAATGTTCTCATTGGCCTGAAGGACCCTAATGAATATCAGAGTAGATTCTGCCTTGAGGATGGGATCATGAATACTCAGAGAACCCGTGGATACCAGAAGGACGTGAGTCTCCCTGGGGTGAGAGGCCCCATGTATTTCATGGCCCTCATTGCTTGATTAGCTCTCTAAACCCAAAGGACGTTTTTCATTAGAAATTCTGAAGTCACACCTTTGTATATGGATTTAGGGTGAATGTGACTGGTGAGCTGACCTGTCTGCCAACAATAATGTTAACATCTTCAGCTTCTAAGTCAAAAAGCTCTACAGAGATAATAACTGATGGATGGAGAAGGATGTGACTGCTTCGATGGGGCAGATTCTCTCTGTACCTCTTTGGTATGTCGTTGGCTTCCTTGGAGAAATGCAACAACCGGCCTTGCACCTCAATACCGACATTGAAAGCCAGCAGCAGGTCAAGGCCAGAAAACTTTGGACTTTGAGGCAGGGCTTCTGATAAAGCTGTGAGGACAGGAAGGACAGCCCCAGAAGGGTGGGTAGCAGGGTGCCACGTGTCATCGAAATCCATTGAGTGAATCTATGTAAACAGACACAAAAAAGAACCCCCGCCCCCCAATTTTTCCTGAATACAATGGCTTTTGGATTTGTAAGGATATAGTTTAGCAATAACTTTTTTGAATGTGAGGTTTTTTAGTCTGATTCTCTAAAAATAAAGCCTGAGAACTTACTGTGATTTTTTTAAATGAAAAAGAACATTTTAATTGAACATAATTGATTGTACATATCTATGGGGTACAGCATTGAATATAAACACCTGTGTGCAATATGTGATGCTCAAATCAGGATAATTAGTATATTCAACACTACACAATGTAGTCATTTTTTGTGGCTCTTTACCAATTTCTTGCTAACCCCCCTTCCCCCTCCCCCTTTCCCACCTCTGGTAATCTCAGTTCTGTTCTCTCCACTTGAAAGTTCAATGTATTATTGTGATTGTTGTACCTTTCTTTCTTTTTTATTTTATTGGTTTATTATTATTATTATTATTATTATTAACTCCCATTTATGAGCGAGGACATGCTGTATTTCTCTTTCTGACTGTGATTATTAATCACATAGCTGAGTATGTGGCTGAGGACATACTATTTTTCTGCTCAGAGGAGGGCAGGACCTTGGAGAGCAGCTTGTGGATCTAAGGAGCTTGGGTCTTACCCAGGGGGCCAGAGCTTTCTCCACCACAGCCCATGGAAAGGTCTGTTATCTTCCCTTAAAAATAAAGCTGTGGAATCAGGTGGCTGCTCCTTCCTCCCTCCAACATTCTTTAAACAAGTTGCACTAAAAGTTTAATGCCATTTACTCCATATTAGGCCACATACTTTTGTACCTTTTTATTATGAAATATTTTCAAACTTTTAGAAAAGTTGTGAGAATTGCACAAGAACTCTTGAGCCCACATTAACTATTAAACTATATTTTAAAATCATTATTTTCTGCTGTAAGATTTTATTTCTCTTCGTCCCAACCATTTGCTTTTCCCTTATATGAAATTTAGTAATAACCAGAAGTTCATTTGAAAACAGATTTTTACGTCTGTTTGATGTAGCTGGTGCATTTCCCGGTGCTTGCTGGGCATTTACTCCCGAATGCACCATTGAGTTTGACTTTTGACATTCTGAGCTACTGTCCCCCCCCCATAAGCCATAAAAATAACTCAGAAATCCCAACATGTTCATTTCCAAATTACGTCTTGTAGACTACTGTCCTGACACACAGAAAAGGAATAAAAATCATCTGTCAGATGAGAAGTGCTGATTTTTGGTTCAGAAAAGATACACACCATATGGCCATTGTTCCTTCCCCAATAAATATCTGTTGAATAAACAGATGAATGAATGAATGAAGAGCACATTACAGGGTAGAAACTGTCACTCACAACAGAAAGAACTGAGAAGGAATTGGGTCTGGATATTGAGTTTTATATTTTTTGCTATATACATTCAAGGTTTAGAGTTGGGATACTTTGGGGTGTTTTAATCTAAATACTTCTGTCTTATTTCCTCTACCTCACAATTTGTTTGAAAGGCATCAATTTACTGTAAAAACATGAAAACTGAAATTACTACGTAAGAGAGAGGGCAGGCCACTTTATCTCCCTAAACTTCAATGATCTCATTTGTAAAATATGAAAGTTGGGTGATTTCTGAGATATCTCCTGTTTGTAAAATTATTATAATTATCTGATAGTTGAGAAGACATGGAAACCTCCTTACAGCCACGCCGTTAACGAAAGCAGCATATGCGGGTGGGAGCCTGAAGTCTGGCTGGGCCCAGACAGTGCTGGATGTATTGGAACTGTAGATCTGGAACAAAAAAGTATCAATCAGTGGTATACACAATATACCAAGTCACCATCTCAGGAGTTATTCTTCATCTTTGGAGGCATTATATTAATAGTCTTTATTTGAACACTTTGTGCTAGAAAGAAGCCTTAGTCATTGGCTTCCTCTCCTGCTTGTATAAGAATACACAACGTTACCCATGGAAGGGAAAGAGATGCTGCTGCTCTATCCCATATTGTGAACCAGAACTGCTCCAGGAAAAGCAATCTGAATTTACTCTGATTTTCTCCTTGGGGTGAATACCAGGGAAGGTGGAGTAACCTATGTACATCCTATGGAGAGCGGATGCTCTATTCCCCACGCTCCTGCGCACACTCTGCTCAGAGTACTCGACCAGCCTTTTCTCCCGAGAATCTTAATGTCTTTGCATGAACAAATGGTTGGTGGTAGGTGCTATTGCTTCTAAGTCTCTCAGGTTAAAATGTACTTTCAGTTATAGTAATAAATTGCAAGGTATTACTAGTGGATGGTTTTTAGACAGTGACTTAGCAAAGGTTATGATAAAAATTAAAACTCAGATAATGAAACAGAAAATCATAAAATGATATAGAATAATGCTATACACATCAAGTACTATCTATAAAACTAAGTACAGAGTAAATAGAACACACGCACACTCCTCTGGTTGTGCCCCAGAGTACGCACGTGTCCACACGCGGTTTTATCTTGAAAGTAGACTTGAGCTTCTTACCTTACTGTATTGGCTGACTTTGTGAAACACTTCAGTACTGGTTCCCAGGAAGCCAACACCCAGAGTGTCCAGAATCATTCTCTTGCTCCTTTGAATAACGCGATCTGTCAGGTGTTCCACGTTCAGGCCATGGATCACTCTGGCAAAGCTTTCTGTGACAGACTATAAAGGGAAGAGTGTTAGGACAGTGCCACACTCCACGTTGTATTTACACACTCCTTTTCTGTAGGAGACCATGAGGCACTTCAATGTAAAGAGTTTTGCTCCAATAAAGGCAACCCAGTTGAATCATATTTAGTTCAATTTCTAAAAAATGAAGTGTACAAAAATACACAATTAGATAAGAGGGAGGGGAGGACTGGCCGGTTAGCTCACTCGGCAGAGCATGGTGCTGATAACACCAAGGTCAAGCGTTCAGATCCCTATACTGGCCAGCTGCCAAACAAAAGCAAAAATAATATGACACAAAAGGGTGTGTAATGAGCATCTATTGTACAATCGCCAGTTTCTGTCCTCAGTTGAGTTGAGGACGCAGACTGGCAGCAGTGTGTGATGGGCGATGGTGTGGGGAAGCACAGAAAGTCAGAGGGGGAGCAGGCGCAGGGCATCTTGCCCACAGGATAGGGATTTTGGGGCGAGGGGGTGCATTCAGACAGCTGGTAGCTGCCATTATTAGATAGCTGCCAGGTACTGAGTGTTTCAAATACAACATCAACTTAATACCCACAGGTCTCTAGGTAGGTGACAAGACAGACCTAGAACGCTGAAGTCACGTAAGTGGTGGAGTCTGGATACAAACCCCTATAGGTCTAAACTCCAGAATTGGTGTGTTTAACTACTAAGCTTGAATTTCCTAAAATGTGGTCTGTGGAACACGTACATCAGAACCACCTGAGGTTCTTGTTGAAAATAAACATCTCTGGTCCCTGTTCTAGACCACCAGGACTAGACACTCCCCAGAACAGAAACCTTTGGAAACATAGCACAAGATTCTGTTTTCATTAGGATCTCTAGGTGATTCTTGAGTGCTCAGGAGCAGTTATGTCCAATATGGTAGCTATTCTCCACGTGTTGCTACTGAGTGCTTGAAATGTGGCTAGTCCAAGTTGAGACTTGTCATCACATAAACTAAACACTGAATATTAAAAGTTTCATAGGGAAAAAGAATGTAAAGCACCTCAATGATTTTTAAATATTGATTACCTACTGAATCAATATTCAATATATTGATATCAATATATCAATAATATGATAATATTTGGGATCTACTGGTGTGAATAAAATATATGATGAGGATACTTCAAAAAAGTTCGTGGGAAGATTTGCATTACCTTTTAATTCTAGTTTTCTATGAACTCTCTGAAGTTCCTGTGTATTAATTCCATCAATTTCTTCTTACTCTCAAAAATATGGTTACTAGAAAATTCAAAATTATATATGTGACTTGAGAACCACTGCCCATTCTTTCTTGTTGGTGGAGGCTCCATGGAGATGTTGATACTTGACCTGGTTATGACAACTTATAGGAGCTGGCCAGGCGAAGGTGCAGGAGGTAAAGACGGAGGTTAACAGTGGAGGTAGCAGCATGGGCCAGGGCTTGGAGATGTGAAAGGCTGGAGTGAATCTGGCACATTTCAGCTGCAGAGCTGCATGCAGGAGCAGAGGTGAGAGGGAGAAGAACTATGTTTGGAAAGATTTCTGCAGGCAGTAGTTTAGAAAACGGGTTGGAGAGGAGTTGACAAGGGCAGTTAAGACACTGCTGCAGTAGCCCAGGTTCAGGATGGGGACATGGCAGTGCCGTTTGCCAAGAGAGGGAACATGGGAAGAGTGGGGCAGACTTTTGGGCAGTGATGATGGGCTTATTGTCAACTTGTTGGATATGAAGTGCCTGTGGTCATCCCAGTGGAGAAGATTGTTCTGCTTCCACCCCAGATAACAAAAACTTGCAGGATTATTTGCATTTCATAAATAGCAGAGTACTTTGCAACTCATTTAAATATGAAGTTCTTCAATGCATAGACAATTATTTTGTTTTCTAACTTCTTCACAAGAGAACATCTATTACGCATAGTTAAAAACTTCATTCTTAAGTCATGTGTATGCCTATCGCTTAGCACCACATAGTAAATGTTAGGTAACTTCCCTTTCCTGCTCTCATTATTATATCATTGTACAACTTACTTTGTCTCTCTGAGCATCAGATACCTCATTTTTAAATGTTAGCTATGAGGTGAGGAGTTATTGGATTAGGGGATCTGAGGCATCTGGAGCTCCGTGATACTGAGCTCAGTGCCAGGGCAGAGTCACAGAGACAGAACCAGTGCCCAGCTGAAAGTCCTTCAACCAGGCGACCAGCTAGTCCCATTCTTAGAGTCTCCAGATTTGCCAAGTCAGGAAATGCCCATCATTTTCAAAAGGATGGGCTACTTTTTATGTCTCCGAAGCTTTAATGGAAAGGTGAGGAGAGTTTGGAGTGTGAGGAAGCAGGAGAGAAGATGGCTGGGAGAGAGAAAGAGAGGGTGCTGGCACAAAGTTTCTAATTACAGTAGAGAAGAAGAATAATGTTGATTTTTATGCTGCTAGAAATTTGGGTAAACATACTTAGGAATAAAAGGAAGGAAGGGAGGAAAAAAACTAGCTTGATGATCTGCCAAGTAAAACTTAGAATTTCAAGTACTGGTTGGATCCCTGGCTCGAGCAAAACTACCTCTTTCTCACCTCTCTTCCCGTCCCCACAATCCCCACAGTTGGGAGCATTTAATTTAGGGACCAATCATTTATCTCTTCAGGGTTAGATGTGACCAGGGGGTGCCTTGAGGGGAAATGTGTGTGCCTGGGGAGCAGGTGGGAGGTGGGGTGCCAGTGTGGAACCCTGAAGTGGCTGTGGATCATCGCATGGGACCATGCTGCTGGTGACTTATGAAGGCGGTCCTTTGGGACGCCCTGACCAGTCCTGAATGTCACCTCATGTGCCAGAGTACAAATGGCTCTCCCTGGCTCCTGAAGGAGGGAACGTGAGGGAAATCAACACACAGATGCCCAGCTGTCAGTGAGCCTTGCGCCCATCTGTTTCTAAAGTATCTTTTTGGTCTGCTTGACATTCTAATGGCACTTACATCTCTTTTTAGTTAAATACAGTGATTATTGTACAAAGTAAGGCATAGTATGCAGTCATTTAGCACACAAATTTCATGAATTCTTGCTACCTGTCTGGCACTATGCTAAGCTCTCTAGAATATCAAACCAATACATTATGGCTTCTGCCTCAAAAACCTTATCTTCTACAGAGGACTGTGACAGTAAACAGATAACGAGAAATGCAACCTGGCAATGTCATAATGGACACATATAAATCTGGGAGGTTAAAATCCAATGAACTTATCATGATTCATTTTTTCCCTAATTTTATCTAAGAATCATGTATTTGTAAAACACTGTTGAAAACCAACATGCGGTTAAGTAGGTAGCTCAGAGGCTATGAGAAAAGTTAAAATGCCATTTTTGAAGCAGAAGCAGGTATTTCTTAAAAAGAGAGGGCAACTAAGAAAACCGAGAAAGGAAGAAGCAAGCTAGAAAGACACGTTAAGTAAAACCACATAAAACGTTACAGTACCTTGAGCATCGTGTTGTTCTAAAAAGGGGGTTTTGGCTCAGGAGTGAATTGTAGAAGTAGTTTGTCTGCTGGGTGAGTGCCTTTATACCCTTCACTCCTCCCAAACCCTTTCCCTTTCATTTTGTTCTAACTGTAAAATTTCCACCATTTCAACACCTTCCAGCTAAACTCACTTCGACTTCCTCTACACATACGCTACACATAATACATTGTTTAACTCACCAGTAAATAAAGAAATAAGGGAGATTAGGAAGTACAGTAGCTATGATCATATGATTCCTCATAGACATCAGAAGAATAAAATTTATGGTAAAACTAGAATTTCCTCTTATGCCGAGATGCCATTTGTTAATATTAGAAAAGTATTCATATTCCTTTAATGAGGTATTCCATTTTAAAAAATTTATCCTGAGGAGATAAGCATGGATGTATAGAAAAATTTAGAACCTCCCCCCCATACACACAAACAGAATTCATAGCCTTGCTTATAAGATTAAAAATTGGAAACAATCAAATGCCCTGAAATAGTGGGTTTGGTTGAGTAACGTGTGGCATGTGCAATATTTAAAGTACACTCAGACTTCCCCCTTGCACTTCAACCTGTGGTCACCACTGTCTAGGGACAAATGGGCCAACAGGAAGTTCTTGTTAGCTTGAGATTAAGAACATAGGAAGGAGTTGAGAGTTAATGACACTTCTTCCCAGCTGTGCCTTTGTGTGTTCCTGAACTGCTCTTTCCATATTTGCAGATCTCTGGTTCCTGGTCCTCTGACTGGCTTCTGGGATATAATGCCTGCCTCCCTCATCCCTGATGATTCTGATTAATCCAGCTTGTCCAGACCTCTTCGCTCATAATCAATCACTATGGCTTGGCTTGCCTGAACCTAACTCTGTTCCTCTGGGAAATTGCCATTTCCCTTGGGATGCCTAGTCCTGACCAATTGGTTTGTACTTACAGTGGGTACAAAGAACATGTTGTTTAAGATCTGAGCTTGTTGTTCTAGATAAAGTAGCAGAATTCATCTTGGGGGAAACTGTATTTCGATTTTGGAGGAAATCTCCAGGAGCCTTGTGGTTCTATCCCAATCCTACCACAGAAGAGAGTTTTGGGACAAAGAGGAGCTCAACTACTTTGTGTAAAAATGCAAAAGGCTATCTTTCTTGTGGGTAGGCAGTGTCTCTGGGAGATGAGGCGAGGACGTTTTGCTTCTCTTGGTTGGAGACTGTGGAGAAAGAGCACTGGAGACCTAGATACAGGGCCAAGGACAGGGTTAGCGGGAATCCCCATGGATTGGTGGGGGCTATAGGCTAGGAGCTACAGGGGAGGTGGCCAGCAGGAAATCCTATGTTCAAGGACACAGGCAGAGAGATTTAAGGAGCAGTGAGATCAAATATCTAACTTGAAGTTTTCAACATAATAATTCTCTAATGTCATCCTTATACTGTTAGGGAAGTTTGTCATGTACTACAACCTAGCGTTAGTCATGCTTTGGGAAATGAGGCAGATGGGGTTGATCGTGTATGGAGTGAAAAGGGCTGGAGAGAGAAGCTCAGGATGCCAGTCAGAAGGAGAAGTGACCAGCAGCAGCCAGGGATGTAGGTACTCTTCGGTTATCCTAAGTAGTTAACAAAGGGTCAGAGGGAAGGGGTGTGATTGGACCTACTTGGATGGTATAAGGAAGAGAGACTTGGAAGGATGAGGACTCGGGGATGTTTGGCTTCCCAGCTGTGGTCCAGACTGGGGAAACCCATATCTACTTTCATTACTGGCACAGATGGTGGTTGTATGCATCAAGACAGCATTTCAGGGCCGGCCCGGTGGTGCACTGCTACAGTGCGCCGCTTGGGAAGTGTGGCAGCACTCCCGCCGAGGGTTCGGATCCCACATACAGACCGGCCACTCACTGGCTGAGCATGGTGCGGGAGCAACGCAGAGGGTTGCGATCCCGTTGCCGGTCCCGGTCCGGTACAGGTGCAACACTGAGGGTTGCGATCCATTGCCGGTCACGAAAAAAGACAAAAAGGAAAAAAAAAAAAAAAGACAGCATTTCAGGGCCGGCCCGGTGGTGCTCTGCTACAGTGCGCCGCTTGGGAAGTGTGGCAGCACTCCCGCCGAGGGTTCGGATCCCACATACAGACCGGCCACTCACTGGCTGAGCATGGTGCGGGAGCAACGCAGAGGGTTGCGATCCCGTTGCCGGTCCCGGTCCGGTACAGGTGCAACACTGAGGGTTGCGATCCATTGCCGGTCACGAAAAAAGACAAAAAGGAAAAAAAAAAAAAAAAAAGACAGCATTTCAGACCATCTTTAGTTTATCTTGTGGACCCCAAAGCCAGCTTCCAGCAGGAGGGTAGATTCCTGTACCCAAAGAATGAGATGAGTATTTGGGGTGGGAGTGGGAAAGATGGGTATTTTGGGGCCATTGTGTAAGAATAATCACAATATAAGATTCTGTGATTCATTGCTAGATAGTCTATATAAATTGGTGTTTAGAGTAATTGTATCAAATTGAAAGGAAACGTAGACATCTAGTTTGACAGTTAAACCTATCTTAAGCATTATCCCCGTTGGGAATTCTGGACTTTTCAGCTTAAATGTCTATGTTTACTCCATTTATTTGCACACACTAATGGAGTACATTGTTTTATTCCCCAAAAGAACCTCTATGAGAGTTGTCATGTTATTACTCCCAATTTAAATAACTGAAAGTCAAGACCCCAAGAGGTAAAAACAAAACAAAACAAAACAATTTTCAAGTTCAGAGTGAAATTTGGAATTGAGACTTCCAAGACCACTTTTATATGAAAATGAAGACTGGGCTATGCTGGCCTCAGCCGTCTTACCATGGAAAGGCTTTATAAAGAAATAATGAGCCTTATCAAGTCTGTTGAGCTTTAAGGGAAGTCCCATCATTTAGCTTCTCTGGGCCTCAGGTTTTACTGCTATTGAATTCAGAAGAAGAGTTAGTCCAGTTACTTCCTACTTTAATTAGAGTAATTCCCCCTTATCTGCAGGCGGATATGTTCCAAGACTCCTGGGAGTAGATGCTTGAATCTTTGCATAGCACCGAATCCTAGCCAAGGAATGCCAAGGTCACTTTTTCATGTAATGGAAGCACTTTACAGCTTCTCTTCTGGCATATTAAAATTGCCAGCATCAGTACCCTTGTGCTTTGGGGCCATTATTAAGTAAAATAAGGGTGACTTGAACACAAGTACTGTGATACCGCGACGGTCGATCTGATAATGGAGATAGTTACTAAGTGACTAGTGGCTTCTACAGCGCTGGACAAAGGGGTGTTTCATCTCCCAGGCGGGACAGAGCCAGATGGTGGGAGATTTCATCATGCTACTCAGAAAGGTGAGCAATTTAAAACTTATGAATTGTTTATTTCCGGAATTTTCCACCTAATATTTTCGGACTGTGGTTGACTGCAAGCAACTGAAACCACGGAAAGCAAAACCGTGGAAAAGACGGGGGGACTACTGTATTTACTTAGTACTTTTATGGAACTGTGATCAATTCAAAGACAGACCCTCTGTAATGAGAGTCACTTTCTAACTATTCAGGGGCTTAAATGATAAATTATATATCGATGGCAACTCTCCAATCAAAAACAGCTGATGATTTCCTGTTGTTTTTTTCTTCTAGATCCATGTAGAAGCCAGAGTTACTGTTTTTATACGCAAATCTTCTCTTTGATCATTTGCCCCAGAAGAAGCAACGTTGTGAGCCGCGCTATGGAGAGGCCGGCAGCGGGTGGAACTGAAGGCTCCTGCTAACAGCCAGCCTGGGTGCTGGTCTTTCCATAGCAAGTCGGGTCTTCAGAGACTGCAGCCTGGCTGGCAGCTGGACTGCAAACCTCCCAAGAGACCCCAATCCAGAGCCACCCAGCTAAGCTGCTTCAGGATTCCTGGCCCTTAGACACTGTTGAGATAAGAAAGGTTTGTTGTTTAGAATGGAGAAATTTTGAGATAATTTGTTATACTGTGTATTAGGATTCTCCAGAGGAACAGGACCATCTAACTATATATACATACATGCATACATAACACACACTTGTATATATACATACAAGTGGTCCTCAAAACGTTTGTGGAACTATTTGTATTATCTGTTAATTCTTTTTTCCCACAAACTTTTTAAAGTACACTCGTGTGTGTGTGCATGTATGTTTATTTAAAAAATTGGCTCATGTGACTGTGGAGGCTGATAAGTCCTAAGGTCTGCAGTTGGCAAGCTGGAGGCCAGACGAGCTGGTGTGTAGTGCCAGTCCACGTCTGAAGGCCTGAGAACCATGAGAACCAGTGGTGAAGTTCCAGTCCAAATGCCAGCAATCTTGAGACCCAGGAAGAGCAGACGTTTCAGTTAGAGTCTGAAGGCAGGAAAAAATCCCCTTGTGCCAGCTCAAAGGCAGTGAGTGAGAGGAATTCTTATTTGGGGGAAGTTTGGGCTTTTTATTCTATTCAGGTCTTCCACTGATTGATGAAGCCCACCCACATTAGGGAGGCCAATCTGCTTTACTCAGTTCAAATGTTAAACTCATCCAAAACATCCCCACGGAAACACTCTGAATAGTGTTTGGCCAAATATCTGGGTACTCTGTGGCCGAGTTAAGTTGACACATAAAATTAACTGTCGCACATAGGAATACATAATTAATACAAACTCCAAGCTGATAATATGACTTAAAAAGGCCCTTAGGACATGACCTTAGTTATCTCTTCTTTCTCATGTCAAGCTTAGGGTCTGCCACATACCTGCCCCCTACGGGGCCATGGTCTTTATTGCCTTAGGGACCTTTGTACCAATAATTTCCTGTCACCTCTCAGGTCTTCTCCCCCCAGCCTACTATCTTTTTCTTCTTCCTTGTCCCAGAACTTTCTTCTCCTCATCTTTCATCTAAGCCAGTGGTCTTTACTGGGGATGAGTTTGTTCCCCAGAGGACATTTGGCAATGTCTAGAGATATTTTGGTTGTCACCCAATTGTGGCATCAACCAGTGTAGGGTCCACATGTGTTGGTAAACATCCTACAATATACAGGATAGCCTCTA